GCCCCAGCCTTTTCACCATCACCAGCTGCTTGGGGCTCCCCCCTCCCACACTCCGTGGTGACATCTGCCAGTCGCCCACTCTGTGTCCTCCACGGCACGTGAGTCCCACAAAACCCGTGTCTCAGCCTGGGTTCCCGCTGAGTTCCCAGGGCGCTTACTTAGGAAACATTGAATGAAGGGAGGAATTAGCAGAGTTAAAGGGAGGCTGCTCAGGCCCCGGTGAGTGGGGGCATGACCAATCTCAAGTCGGCGGGAGGCTGGAACAAAAAGTCCAGGTTCCAGGACCCCTGAGCTATGCCTATGTGGCAATTCATCCCATTTCACAAGTGGGGAAACTGAGGCACGAGCTCACAACCCAGTCAGATTTCACTCCCTCCTCCCACCCCATTCCCAGAATAAAAAACAAAAGAAAGCCAAAAGCCAGCTGATTTGTCAATTCACCCAACAAACCTTCCCTGAGTGCTCTGTTTCCAGGCCGGTGCTAGGGATCAAAGGGTTCAAACGCAGACCCTGCCCTTGGAGAGCCCTCAGGCTGGTGGAGAAACTGACCCATCCGTGAGCTGTTAGGACAGCCATGAAGGGGGAGGAGCCCCAGCCTGCAGGGGTGTAGTCAGGGAAGGCTTCCCAGAGGAGGAAGCACTGACGCTGACGTCTAAAGGAGGAGCAGTGGTCAGCTACCCACAGAGGGGCACTGAGCAGTGAGCAAGGCCCTCAGAGGCTGTGCAGGTGTTCCGCAGGGTTGCTGTGGAAGGGGGGCCCTCCGTGCCCCTGGCCCCCTCGGGGCCTCTTGGACCCCCGGCCTCAGCCAGTGTTCGGGGCCTCGGCAGCCTAGCGGCTCTGCGAACCGTGGCAAATCCATCCTGACACTGTCTGCAGTCAAATAATGCTGAGTTATTGGACACGACCAAGAGCAGGGACAGGAGGGCTGACCTCGGGGAGGTGGGGACATGGGCCGGGGGCTCGGGGGGTGGGGGTGGGTGGCATGAGTGGGGACCCAGGGCTGAGCATCTTCTGGGGAATCCACCTTCCTGGAGGAGCCCAGGAGGCCCCTGGGAGGCTGGGACCTCCTTACCCGGATGAAGAAATTCTGAAATCCACGCACAGTGTTTTTTTTTTTTTTTTTAAATATGCATGTCCATGAACTTTATGAAGACCCCTCATCTGCATGGATTTTGAAATTTTTGCACCCCAAAAAAATCTTTTAATTCCACTTCCTGTATAGCAAGTTTGAACATTGATTTTTATTTTACTTGAAAGGCAATGAAGGCCGGCGCCGCGGCTCACTAGGCTAATCCTCCGCCTTGCGGCGCCGGCACACCGGGTTCTAGTCCCGGTCGGGGCGCCGGATTCTGTCCCGGTTGCCCCTCTTCCAGGCCAGCCCTCTGCTGCGGCCAGGGAGTGCAGTGGAGGATGGCCCAGGTGCTTGGGCCCTGCACCCCATGGGAGACCAGGAGAAGCACCTGGCTCCTGGCTCCTGCCATCGGATCAGCGCGGTGCACCGGCCGCGGCGGCCATTGGAGGGTGAACCAACGGCAAAGGAAGACCTTTCTCTCTGTCTCTCTCTCTCACTGTCCACTCTGCCTGTCAAAAAAAAAAAAAAAAAAAAAAGGCAATGAGACAGACTCTTTGATCTGCCGGTTCCCTCCCCAAATGCGTGCAACAGCTGGGACTGTTGGGCCGGGCCGAAGCTGAGAGCCAAGAACTCAGTCCAGGGCTCCTGGGTGAGCGGCAGGGACGGAGGACTGGAGCCGCCACCTGGTGCCTTGCAAGTGCCCATCAGCAGGGAGCTGGCTTTGCAGCAGAGGAGCAGGGACTGGACCAGGCACTCTGATGGAACATTGCACCTCCTGCCCAGTTCCTGCCCCCGCACAGCAGCCTCTGGGCTGGCTGCCGCCGCCATCCCACCATCGGCACAACAGTGACTCACAGACCAGGGGCCTTTCCAGATCTGTGGGCCTGGCTGCACCCTCTGCCAACACCAGGGAGCGACTGACCCACCTCCAGGATGTCTGATTGGCAGCGCCGGGCCGGGGGCTCCACCCTCCCCGTTATAGTGGAGGAAACTGAGGCCCGTGGAGTGGAAACTTGCCCTGAAGGCCACACCCAGGCAATTTGTGGTTGGCACAGGGCTCCATGCATCAGGGTCAGGGGCTTTGGCCTTTGGGACCTGCTTCTAGCACTGTGTGGCCTTGGGCAAGCCCTGTGGCCTTCCTCCACTCTAAGATGCTAAGACCAGTGCTGTGTGGGCAAGGAGAGGCAGGACTACTTGTACGAGCTGGCATTCGCACTGAACACAAACCTGGCAGGTGGTGGGGACCAAGGTCGTTAGCAGCCTATAAGGGAAAAAGCCCCAGGCTGCGAGTGGCCCACCACAGCTGTCTCCCCTCTCCTCACCCCTTTCTTTCCCTGTCTCTGGCTTGAGCCTCTGGCCCCCCAACCTGTCCACACCCAGGGTCCCCCCAGCCAGTGCCCCCACAACCCACCTCAGTGGCATCCCTGCACCTCTGGCTGCTGGCCTGGGGGGAAAGCAGCTGTGGCCAAGCCAATCACACTTCCAGGGAAAGCCCCGCCCATTCCCCCAGCTCAGGGAGGGGGAGGGGAAGGGGGGGGCCCGGGGAGGGGCACTGAGGCCCTGAGCAGCCAGGAGCTCTGCACCTGGCAGCCACTTGAGGCCTGAAACAGGGCCAGCTCCTGCCCTAGATAAGACGGTCGACGGCCTACTTGGGCCGGCCCTGGAGGCCCCCCGCGGGTGCCTCTCCCCAGCTCCTAGGGCCTGACTGAAGTCAGCCCACGCCCTGGCCATGCTCAGTAGCCTGGGGGCCCTGCCGCAGCAGGCACTGACCGAGCACTTAGTGGTTGAGCCCTCACGGGCAAGAATGCACTTTGCTCTCTCGACAACCATGTGAGATAGGAATGGAGGTGCCCCCCGAGTTCCCAGGCTGCACACGGAGGCGCAGGGTTGCGGAGGTACCTGGCCAAAGCCGACTGCTAGCAGGAATGGGGTGACACAGCCTGAGCTGTGGCGGTGGGGGGCTCTGGATGCCGCTTTGCAGTTCTGTGGGCACCCTGAGGTTTAGCCTGCAGGGCTGGCTCCCAGCTTGCTGAGTGATGGACACGGAGCAATAGGGATCTGCCCCTCTCAGGGCTCAATCCCCCAGCTGTCAATGGCGACTGTTAAATGGGCCACCCATGGGCAATCAGACAGCCCAAAGGCCAGCTCATGAAGCTGCTTAGGAAATAAAAAGCAGAGCTGGCGCTGTGGGGGTTAAGCCACCGCCTGCAGTGCTGGCATGTCATATGGGTGCCAGTTTGATTCCCGATGGCTCCATTTCCGATCCAGCTCCCTGCTATTGTGCCTGGGAAAGCAGCGGAGGATGGCCCAAGTGCCTGTGTCACTAAACCCACGTGAGAGACACAGAAGAAGCTCCTGGCTTTGGATCAGCCCAGCTCCAGCCATTGTGGCCATCTGGGGAATGAACCAGCCAATGGATGATCTCTCTGTCTTCCTCTCTCTCTGTAACTCTGCCTCTCAAATAAATCTTAAAAAAACAAAAACCCACAACATCTTTTTCTTCTACGCGTTGGGTCATGATAATAGCAGCAGCCATGTCAGTTTTCTCTTCTGTAAAATGGGCCAATGATACACACAGTGATGAAGATGACATAAAATACTGTATTTTGCTGCGTGTTAGAGACTGCGGTTTTTGTTATTCTTTACAAATTCCCCACAGGGTTGCTCTCAAGATTAAATGAAGCAATTCAGACATGGCACTCAACTCAGCGTTTTGCCCTCAATAGGGGGCACGCTGGGGCCCCGACCAAAAGGGACTACAAGTACCAGCATGCCCTGCGCTCTTAGTCGGGGCCCCGCCGTTCGGCGCCGGCGCGTAGCACGCTGGGAGTTGCAGTCCTGGAGCCGCAGGCCCTCCTGGTCCCAGCTTGGGGGAGGAGGTTGGAGAGCCGCCCTGCCGGCCTTTGAATTTTGCCGCGAAAAGCGCGCGTGGCTGCCCCAGGCCCCGCCCCCTGCAGGACGCGGCGCCGCGTCACCCTGGTAACCGCCTCTCGGCCGCTGCTGATTGGACCGGGCGGCGGGGGGCGGGCCGGGGGCGAGACGCCGCGGCAGCTGCGGGCGCTCGCGTCTGTCAGTCGGGTCGGAGCGGAGCAGCGGGCAGGACGGCCGGGCCGGCGGCTCAGTGAGGAGGCTGCGTGCGCCGGCCGGGGGAGGCGGAGAGCGGGGCGCGGCGCTCGGCCTTCGGGCCTGGGAGCCAGGCGAGGCGCCGGCGCGCGCCAGGACGCACAAGGCTGCGGCCCCGGGAGCCCCCGCGCACCGCCGGGGGCCATGGGCGCGTGAGAGTCCGGTGCGCGTCGGCCCTGCTGCAGCTCGCGAGCCTGCAAGCCTGGTGCGGCGTCCCCCGGGCCGTCCCCGCGTCCGCGCCGCGCCACCAAGACCGGCTCTTTCTCGTCACCGAGGCCCCGAGGCTCCTCCGCGCCGCCGCCGCCGCTCGCCGGCCTCCCCTCCCCCACGCCCGCCCGTGGCTCGGAGCGAGAGGAGGAGGGGCTGGTGCATTCTCGCCGCTGCTCTTTGCAACCTGCGGGGGCCGGTGCATGCCCGGCGAGCAGCCGGGGCGCCTGCAGGTGCGTGCCACCCCCAGAGAAGGCGACCCTCCCACCCCGGCGCGGACCCGGGGGACTGCAAGCCGCCGGCGGGAGAGCGGACGACAGCAAGCAACAAAGGCTGCAGCTGGGGCTGGCGCGAGGGGCCGCGGCCGCCGGGCTCCCAGCGCGGGCGGAGAGCGCGCCCTGGGAGCGGCGCGGGCCGAGCTGCGGCCGTGAGCGAGGCCCGGAGGGGAGACGCAGCGCCGCCCGCCGGACGCGGCGAGCGCAGGCCCCGGCCAGGATGCGCCGCCCGAGCGCCCGCGCGGCCCGGGCTCCCTGCGGGCGCGACCCGCGCTGAGCCGAGGCACCGGCTCGCACCCCCGACTTCGGACGGCACTCCCCAGCGCCCCGGCCCACCCGGAGAGAGGCGTCGGCCCCCGGAGGCCCTCGTCGGCCGGCGCCTGCCGCCGCTGCATGGCTGCGACCCGCCGAGCGCAACGACGTGGCCGCTGAGACCCGGTGCCCCCCGACGGCCTGGCTGACCCGGTGAGTTGCGCGGGGCGGGGCTGCGCCGCGGGCGCGGACGTCCCGGGCCCTGGGCGCTTGGGGGTCCCGGTTTCCCCCGCGTCCGCCCCTCTCCCTCCCACTCACAACTTGTCCGGCCGGCCAGCCCGAGCGCAGGCTGGGGGGCGGAGGTTGGGGTTCGGCCGGGGACCTGGGCGGGGCGGATGCCAGAGAGGAAAGGTCACCCCCCCACACCTTGGAGCCAACAAAGGTAGCGGCTGCGCCGTCCGATCCTGCCCCGGGGGCCCGTGCGTCTCGAGGGCGCTGCGAGGGGGCACCCAGGTGGGGACAGCCTTGAGGGCTACAGGGGGACCTCAGCTCGGAGCGCGATATGGGTGGGCACCTGACCACGTTCTCGGGTCGTGCCCACTGGGGCTGGACCGTGGCCGGGTCTCCCTTCCGGCCCGTGGTCCCAAGCCGATGACTCACGGGGGCCTTGGTGGGGGTGGCTGCGGCGGCGTGACGTCACTGCCCGACCTCTGACGTCACCGGGGTTGCCATGGCGACGCGACTTGCCTTGACCCGAGGCCGGAGGGGGCGGGGTCGTGGTGACCAACGGGCAGAGCTGGCCGCTTTTGTAGTGCTGGAGGGGTGGGGGCTGACTCCTTCCCCCCACTGCAGTCCTCTGACCTAAATCCCTAGCGCCCCATGAGGTGGGGGAAGGGGCAGTGCCAGCTGTCCCCGCTGATGCTCCTCCCCCACCCCCACCCAGGACAGGTGTTTAGAGCTTTGCCCATGCAGCCTGGCAGTGCCTGGAGGCTCTGGACTCCGGCAACTTCCTGCTGTCAAGGGAGAGGCTAAGGAGGCCGCCCTGAACCCCACCTTGTACCCAGCCAGCAGGCCCAGAGCCCTGGGGACCCCCGGGGCTTCCTGCAGGCTACTTCTGCTTGGGAAAACGCAGGTGCCTTGCCTCCAGCCGGGGCGGGGGCAGGGGAGCTGCTGCCTGCTGCCCCTAGGAACCCGGGGTGGGGGAGAGTCCCCACTGCTCAGGCCCAAGGTTAGGGGCCTTTGCGGGGCCCCAGCTCCTGGCCGACTGCTCTCCTCTCGGTGGGAGAGCGTTTGATGAGCCCCGCGCGGTGACACGAGGTGCCCGGTGGGCAAGGCCAGCCCGTGAGGGTCAAGGGCTGGATAAAGTGTGTGTCTGCCAGGGCCAGCTTGGCCGGGTGTCGGACGCCAGCCCCGTCTGCCCCACCTCCCACCCCCGCCGCTGCCCTGGTCCCCGCAGAGGCTCTGAGAAGCCTCCCAGCCGGGACCTTGAGGCCGCTGGCTTTGTGATTCTTCGCCTGAGCCATTGCTGCCGGTGTCGGATGTGGGCGACACTGCCGGGCTGACATTTCTAGGAGGTCTGAAAACCGGGTCACTGCTTCGGCAGCCGGGGCGGGGGGGGGGGGGTCGGAGGAGCGGGGGTGCGTGCGTGTGGCGGGGTCCTTTGGAGGAGCCAGGCGCCCTGGCCCCGTGCAGCCTGCCTGTTTCCGGTCCTCCCCGGCTCTCTGGCTGGAGGCACAGGTCAGGGAGTATATGGGGGGCGGGGAGCGGCGGTGGCAGGGAGATGGCCTCCCAGCTGAAGCTGTGTCGTTAAACACGCAGGCTTCCAGGGACAGCAGATGGGGGAGTGCTGCCTCTCGAAGCTTCCCAGTTTAGAAACAAACCCCAAGCGCGCGCCAGAGATCCGAAAACACAGGCGGTTGGAGGCCCTCCTTCAAGTATTTACACTGCCACAGCCAAGGCGGGGAAACGCCGTCAGAATTGGGCGATTCCTTCTGCTCCCTCCCCCTGGCTCCCTGGGCTCAGCGAGGCAGTGCCAGCTCCCCCTGTGCCAGGCTTTTTTTTTTTTTTTTTTTTAGGATATGACGGCTGACGTGCTGTAGCCCATTTTGTGGATGACGAAACTGAGGTCCAAACAGACGAGCTGATGGGCCACAGCTACAGAGGCTTGGCCCTGCAAGGCCCTGCCTGGAGCCCCTGGCTCTCCCCATCCCTTCCCTGGGGGGGGGGGGAGAGAGAAGAGGCGTCCTCACTTGTGAGACAGGGGGTCCATGTAGGCGACAGGGGCTGCTGGCTGTGGAGGGAGTCGGGCCCCACCGAGGTGCTTCGTCCACACCACTTCTGCCCTGACCTTGCGGCCAGCCCACCGCACACCCCACCCCTGTGGAATGACGCCTGCCTGCCAAGAAGGGCTGCACGTGTCGCCTGCTCCTCTGGACTTGTTTGGAGGGGATGGCAAGGCTGCTGTCACCCAGCCCGGGGAAACCCCCCCCCCAACCCTGTCATTCAGCTGGTGGGAACAGGCAGTGGCACCTGTGATGGGTGTGGCTTCCGACCCAGCTGGCAGGCCCTGGGGGAGCTTCGAGCTGCTGGTGCTGTGTGACTCCAATGGGCTGGCTGCCTACCCTTGTGCCAGGGGTGTGGGGGCCCTGCACCCTGGAGCCTAGGTGGCCTCAGCCCCTTTGGACATCTCCTCTGTCAGGGCCATCCCCTCTTCCAGGTTGTCTGCCCCACCCCCCAGTAATCCTTCTCAGGGCCTAAGCTCATCCACCCTCTGTCCCTCCTGAGCTCTGGGCTGGGCAGCTCAACCCCCTTGGCAAGAAACCCCAGGCTCCCTGGCGACGGGCAGTGGCTCAGGGCCGGGCTCTGCAGGGCGCTGGGCCCTGAGTCCCCCTCTTGCTGGCCGTGTGACCTTGGGTGAGTAGCTTCCCCTCTCCGAGCCTCAGTTTGGAGAAGGAACTGGCGGTGGCACCTGCTGCCCTGGAGTGAGGCGAGATTCGGTGAGGCCTTGGCACCCCGAGATCCCTGTTCTGGGGGCGCAGGGAGCCCCATCCTCAGAGTGGGGCCTGCAGTGCCTTGAGCCAAAGATCAAAGGGGGCCCACCCTTCCTGCTGTCTCCGCCCCGGGGGGCGCCTGCCACAGAGCCCCCTCCCCAGCCTCCTCCTCTGGCTCCTCCTGCCTTCCTGTCCCTCCCAAATGGGGGCGGAAGCAGGGGGAGCGAGCAGCTCGCATTCAGGCACGGTAATTCAATCGCCCGGCGATTCCTCCGGGCTGGGCGGGGGTGAGAACCGGGAGGCGCACAAAAGGGCGGCTTTATTACCTCCCGCGGCGGGGAGCCGCCTTCATTGTGTTAACCCATTTGCGTGTCAAGAGCTATTGTGCACTTGCGCGGCCCGGCGGCCTGTGCGAGCCGGGCCGGGCCCAGGGAGGAGGCTGCAGGCCTCGCTGCTGCTGGCCGGTCACCTCCGCGGGCGCCGCCCGCTGCCCCCATTGGTTGCTAAGTGATTTGCATCTAAGGTAATCACTTTTATCTCAGAAGGATATCGACTATAATTATAAGCTACTGACATCTTTTGAAATCTGCCTAATGACTATTTTAGTCTGCACCGGGCTAGGGCTGGGAAGGGGGGGTGGATGGATTCCTTCTGGCTGGACCACTCATGACTTAGTGGGGCAATGTCTGAGTGCCTACTGTGTGCCTCAGACAAGACAGGGTGCGCACCAGGGGAGCTTGCATTCTGTGGGCACCATTTCAGAGACTGGGAAAGGGAGCACACCCCCCGCCCCCAGGAAGGAGCCACCGGGCCAGGAATTGGCTGACACGTGGGTCTCTGGACCCCTTGAGCCGGGTGCAGGCCTTTGAGACGGCACCAATCTGGAATGTTCCAGGATCCGTGTCAGAGCCCTGTGAAATGCACCTGCTCATAGTACCCCCATACACCTTACTGAACAGGAAACGGGGGGTGGGGTGGGGGGGTACAGGAAGAGCGAGGCACTGCTCAAGGTCACATCCCAGGAGGGGCAGAAGAGTGACATCCGTTGGTGACCAGAGGTGTGCGGTGTTGGCCTGGGCCAGGAGAAGCGGGTGACAGGGCAGGCCCAGATTCCACTCCCCAATCCCCTCTTCCACCCTCTGTGGTTGGGTTCCGGAAGCACCCGGCATCAGTCTCGCGGAGACCCCGCCCACCCCACCGGCCACTAAGCAGGAGGCAGAGCTCAGGGCCAGCCCACGGCCCCCACAGGGCATCAGATGCGTCTGACTCACTGGGATTCTGGACAGAGCCCGAGAGGAAGAGGGGAAACCTGCTGCAGGTCACGAGGGCTTCCTGGCAGAGGGGCTCTGGCTCTGGGCTCTGAGAACCCAGTGGATCTGCCCAGCGTGGCGTGATTGGGGGAGTTCAAGACCCCAAGGGCATGGCCGGGGAAAGCCGGGGGAGCCTTGAATGCCAGGCTGAGGCCCTCGCGTGGTGCAGGTGCTGGAGGTGGGGGTGGGGTCGGCAAGGGGCTTGGGAGTCTTCCGCTGAGTCCCTTTACCCCCTAGGTCTCAGTCTCTCTTCTGTGCAAGGGGGTGGGAGCCAGGATGAGCTGTGTGAGCCTGGGGCCAGTAAGGAGACAGGGGCTTGGCTGAGCCCCTCAGAGCTGAGTGGGCCAGGCTCAAGCGCTGGCCCCAGCCAGTCTCCCCGCCCCAGCCGCAGCAGCTGTTTGGGGCCCTAGGGGCCCCGGCCATTGTGTAGGGGCCACTGAGGACAAAGGCCCCGGGGTCAGAGGGCGAGGCCTGGCTGACTGTGAACAGGCTCCCTGGGACAGGGACTTAATGGCACAGAGTTGGTGGGGAGGGCGGGGAGAGTGGGGGAGGGAGGTCCAGCCACCAGCTGTCTGTCCCAGGGTCTGTGCCAGGGCAGGGCCAGCTGCATCCCAGGCCAGGCCTGAGCGTGGCACCGCGGCTGCAGCGTCCGGGTGCCCCGTCTACCTCGGAGGGCAGCTGTGTGGCCTGGCAGTCAGCGGGCCAGTGGGCAGTAAACAGGAACAGCTATTTTTACTCCTTGTGCATCCGTTCATTGAGAGAGATTCACTGCTCCGCACCAGGCTCCCTGCCAGCTGCTGGGGACACGGAGATGAACGGGCCCCCGTAGCCTCGAAAGGTGGCGCGTACCGAGGGAGAGGCACCCGTGCACAGCGGGCTCAGTGTGCAGCCCTCGGGCCAGGCGCAGAGCCAC